TCTGTTCAGCTTTAGTAATTTACTTGTTTGCTTTCTTTAAAAAACAAAAACAGAAATGTTATTTATTATACTATCTCCGTATTAGTGATCTTTTCATGAAATGTCCAAATCAAACAGTTTAAATGATAACTTTTTCTAATTTTACCACCATTGCTCTCGACATATAGGTAGACTTTTTTTTCTTAAAAATAGTCCTATTTTTTTCTCTGCACTTTCCAAATAAAATCGAATTTTCCATATTACATAGTTGCCGATTTAAATATAATTGCTATTAAATTATTTCTGTAACAGTAAACAATCGGAAGAATCAATAATTAGTTGTTCCATTGCAGGTTCATGAAGCCGTGGGCAAATATTGGGCAGCAGTTGTTTGCAAATTTGCCGATTCAACTGTACTTCCAATAAATATTACAGATCTTGCGCTTAGCATTGTTCACATTTACATTCCACCAATTAAACAATCACTGAATAAATTGAAATATTATGACAAAATGTTGCACGATGCTAAACATCAATTGAATTATTTATACAATGTCTCCGTGGTATGAACTTTCCATAATCTTTAAGAGAAATTTTTTAAATTTTATTTAAAATATGTAAAAAAAATTTAATATCGCCAAATTTTTTAATATGGAATCAAATGGCTAGGTGTCGATGTAGATGGGAAGATATCGATATAGACGAAAATGGATTCAAGATTAGAATCAGTATCAGATGACTGTTGCTATGTACAGATAGAATCAAATTCAGAATCAAAATTAGAATCAGAAAATACAATCAGGAAATCTGTATACAAAATTCGTATTCTTTGGTTTTATTTTGACGAAATATTAATTTGAACATTTTTAGGAATTTCTGGAGTATGCGAAGAAATTCGACAATATTATTCGATATGCTTTAACCAATTATGTTACCAAATTGTATGATTTGAAGAATTTTTCATGGATTAACGATCGTTTAATGGGAGTTGAACGATGTTTTATCAATCCACGTGGTATTCCGGGTGAAGCATCACAACGACATTTACTGTTTAGTGTTAGCAGTAAAAATAAATATCATTTTATCACTATGACTACTATTCATGATGCGGTATGTCTCATTTTTATTTTATTAGTTAACAAACTGCATTTCCAAATTTAATCATAAATTTGAGTTGGAGTTAAATTGAAATACCAATTAAGAACAAAATCATAGTAAATTTGAATGGTAAGGTATTAATGATTGAAATTGATGAATGGACAAAATGAAATAATTTTGTCTGTTTCGTTTTACAGATAGATGCATTCAAGAGAGCAAAAACTGACGCTGAACGTGTTCTGACCGGACGTCAAATCGCATTTCAAATATCCGTAATTCAGCATTCCATCGAGTGTGCTATTAGCACGCTAAGCAATAGAATTTGACATATTGC